TGGCCATCTATTGCTGTCCCAACATCAGAGGAGAGGCACTATTATATTTCACCTTGCCTTTGCTCAATGATGTATACCTTGTACACTGCACACCAATGGCCCTCAGTCTTCCTATTCAAGTTTTCCCATCCCCTGGTGCAGTGTAGTAAATTACTTAGTATAGCTTTTCTACCCATAAGTCATTGTAAACTCAGTGGTGGAATGAGCAACTGAGGAGCTCCTGATTGTGAATATTATCTACCTAGGTTATTTCTGTTGGGCGTGGCACAGTGCAATGTTATGGGAGGCTCACACTCAGGTGCTTAGAATTCTGTTGTTATGATTGGTTGGTTTGGCCACTCTGCCAAGCTCAAAGGGAGGCCTCCTAAAGGCAGAACTCTCTCTCTGACTGCTGGTTGAGGAAGACGTACTGCTGAGAGAGACACATGCTGCTGGGAGAGAGATGTAAGAAACACGCATTGCTGAGACACCAAGGGACATGCACTGCTGGGAGAGAGACTGTGAGAGATTTGGCTGAGAGACGGTGGGCTGGGAGAGAGACTGAACGTTTTTGTCCTGAACTTGAATTGTAGCCTGGTGCTTCCCTAATAAACCCCATAATCTGTGAGTTCTGCATGACCACTGCAGTGAATTATCGAACCCAGGAGAGAGGTGGTGGGTGCTTTGGGAGGAACAGTTGGAGAAAGGGCTGGAGGGAGGCAGCATGTCTGGCCTCTCAGGAATAGGCCTTGGGCTATTGATGGTGATTCTGTCTTTCTCTTGTGGGATCAGAGGAGGTCAGAACATGTGGCCTCCTTGCCCTTTTTGCACCTGGCTACCTTCCCCCCAACATATGAACTCTGCCATACATGACTAGATTTGTACCCATCATTGTCAGAATAACCATCATCCCAGGAATAGTTGAAACAGCAGCTGGAGTAGAAGCTTTAACAATTTAATCACAAATTATCAAGGCTAATCAATTTGTCAGAGACCTAGAGGCCCAGCCATCCTCTGCCATAGCCAACTTCTGGTCCTCTTTTTTTTTTTTTTTTTTTTCCTGTGTCAGTTTATTGTCCCAATAAATGTGGTGAGTTGGGATTATGGAAGGTAGTCCTCTATCTCCATCCCTATGGCATGATACCCAACCCCTTCCCCTCCCGCTTTTGGGGTCCCAGTGGTTTTTGCACTCTGTATCTGAGCATTTCCTGGGTCTCTTGGTATTATCAAATAAGTTAATGTCCCGAACCCCGATGACCTACATTGGGAAAACAACCAAAACACGAGGGCTGACCATGCAAGGGCATAGCTCCTGGCTCAGATGGTCATAGATAACTGACTAGCCCTAGATTACCTACTGGCCAGTCAAGGAGGAGTATGTTCCATCCAAGGCACTTTGTGCTGTATGTAGATTAACAACACAGGGCAAGTGGCCATGCTACCATGCTACTCAAGGAAATATCTCAAGCTAGTAAAGTTAGGCACAATATAACTAAAATAAACCAAACCACATGCACTGCTGTTGAGTCAGATCCGACTCATAGTGATACCTCCTTGGGTTTCTGAGGCGCTATCTCTAAGGAAGTAGATTGCCCAACCTTCCTTCCGAGGAGTGGCTGGTGGGTTTCAACTGCCAGCCTTCTGGTTAGCAGTCCCATGCCTTAGGCACTACGCCACCAAAATAGTCCAATAAATTTCCACCTTCCCTGAGGTTTCAAACCTATTTTCATGGCTTTCCCAATCTACATGGGCCAATGGCTACAAACTGGCTTCCAGTCTATTGCAAGCCTGATTATCCTAGGTTTCATGCTCAATGATCTACTTAAGTGTACCCTACAATGGCTACAAAAACTATATCATAACTTTCAATATTTCAGTCACCCAAATTATAAATGTAATTTTAATATCTGATACCAAGGCATCACAGGATAGTCATGAGTTGCTAAAACTCCATTTCAATTGCTGATTTGGCATCCATCATGTCCAACATAAAACAACAAGCTGGCTGGCTCTACTCATATCATGCTAGTGTGTGACCTGGATAGCCAAAAACAAAACAAAACCCATTTCCATCAAGTCAATTCCAACTCATAGCATGACTCTTTGTGTTGTTGTTGTTATGTGCTGTCGAGTCGGACCCGACTCATAGCAACCCCTCCTTGGGTTTCTGAGGTGGTATCACTATGGAAGTAGATTGCCCAACTTTCCTTCCAAGGAGTGACTGGTGGGTTTGAACCGCCAGCCTTCTGGTTAGCAGTCAAGTGCCTTAGGCACTACACTACCAAAGCTCCTAGTGTGACCATTTAGGACAGAGTAGAACTGCCCCACAGGCTTTCCATGGCTATAAGTCTTTACAGAAGCAGATTGCCTCAACTTTCTCTCATGGAGTAGCTGGTGGGTTCAAACTACCATCCTTTTGGTTAGGAGCCAAATGCTTTAACCACTGTGCCACAAGAGCTACCTGCCCTGGATAGCAGCCCACAAAAACACAAGCACATGCAAGCTCCTGATATGACCTGTCTAGCAACCTACATGACCAACAACAACTCCTCACAACTTCCCTCTTGCTCCCCCTTAGATCAAATCCCCATGAGGCTCCCCAAGACCCTGCTCTTTTCCTTTAAACTGACCAATCCTACAAAAAGCCTGGAAATTTTAATGTCATTTTTAGTTCCACTGTTTGGTCCTTGTTGAATCGCAACTTACCATCCAGCACTTACATAACTCTATTTTAAATAAAGTCTCTGAAATTCATAACAAGGTGTCATGGGACTTTTCCTGAAATGATCACTGGCACTCAAAACTGAGAATAAAGAATCATCAAATATCCTGCAAGCCCCCCCAAAATAAAAAAAAAAAAATTAGGGGTCAGACGCCACTTCCAACTATCATCCCAGCACGCACACCTCTCCAGCTTGCATCAACTATTCTGTTCCTGCTGGCCAGCTGCACGGAAACAGAAGAGCAGCAATGCAGAGAAAGAGGGGTGTGTGGAGTGCCTTGCCCTCCCCCTCCAGCGTGGCAAGGATGTGTGAACCAGCTGTCATCCCTCTTCCTACTTTCTTGTTTTCCCTCCAAAGCCCTTCCCTACACCTTAAAAGTAATCACCAGCCTTTCTGGGAATCCTTTAATTATTCATTGGGCTTTGAGATCATCAGAGATACCCTGGAGCCATGCTGGCCAACACAGTGGCCACTAGCCTACCTGGGGCTAAAGAGCACTTGAAATGTGGGTAGTCCTAATTGAGATGTGCTGTAAGTGTAAAAGGAGCTCTGGTGGCGCTGGTTAAGTAACTGGGCTGCTAACCAAATGGTTGGCAGTTTTAACCCATCTATTCTGCTCTGCTTCCTAAAGATTTATAGCTTTGGAAACTCTATGGGGCAGTTTTACTCTTCTCTACAGGGTCATTATGAGTCAGAATCGACTCGATGGTAGTGGGTTTGATTTTGGGTAAGTGTAAAATATATACTGGATTTAGTACAAAAATAATTTTTAAAATATGTTATTCATATTTATATCAATTACCTATTGAAGTGATCATATTTGGTTATATTAAGTACATTATTAAAATTAATTTCATATGTTTCACTTTCGTTAATGTGGCTATCAGCACCTTAAGGATTACATATGCGGCTCAGCCTATATTTCTATTAGCATGCGCGGCCCTGGGGTTTTAAGTCGACTCGATGGCCCCGGGTTTGGGTTTTTTTGGTAGGAAGCCCTAGCCAGGCAGCTTTCACAAAGCATGAGACCACAAGGGGGCGGTACTGCAGTGAGGCTTTCACAGAGCATGAGACCACAAGGGGGCGGTACTGCAGCGAGGCGCTTCCCTAGGCGCTACTCTGGCAGGAAGCAGATCGGCTTCTCGAGTTCAACTGGCAGAAACTTTGCTTCAAGTAATCACTACTTATTTTCTAATGAGAGGGCTGGAGGAGAAGAAAAGCAAGGAGGTGATGTGAGGAGAACGTTAAAAACAGGAGTGGGTAGCGGCTTACGGGGATATTCACTCAGCACTGGAATAGCCAACATACACACAAACTATGGGCAACTTCGCTGTGCATTAATTAAGGTACAGCTATACCATGGGGTATTTTACAAGTATTAGAAAGGATGTAAACGAATACAAATAGATACGAAAAACATTTATGCTAAATTCAGTGAAAAGGGTTCGCTACAGAATTGCACGTCCATTTGTCTGTCGATTTTGCTTTTAAAAAAAAAATCAAGTATGCATTTGCAAAGACAACCACCTGAAAAGATATTCTCCAAAGGATTAATGTGAGACGATGAGTGACTTCTTTGCCTTATTTTTTTTTTTACAACTTCTTTTATAAATAAAATAACAATTTTAAGTTATTGCTAAATAGCCCTTCCCAGTCTTCTTTAAGAGTTAGGATTCAAATACCACTTTCTTCCCCCAAACTTCCGAGCCTTTCTATCAGAAGTACCGATGTCCTCATTAAAATTCCGACACTTCAGTAGTTAGTACGCAGTTTGGGTTTTTAACCTTGTTCCATCTCATCCTTTAGTCCCTTAGATGCATGTCTTTCCCCTACACGCCTGTGAGTCCTTCCACAGCAGTCCTGTGTCTTGTTACCAGTTCCACAGCCTGTAGTCAAACCCTGGCTGGCCAAATATTAAACCAGCTCTGGCCTCTAGTGGGTCTCGCAGTCTATTGAATCGTGACCCAAAGGTAAAAACCACAAAGTGACATGCCAGGGAATCACGGCACTGAGATCCGGCTGCCGATCTCGCTCCCGGATCGGGGGTAACTCGACCCATCTGGTTCCGCAGGGGAGTCTCTCAAGGGCCACCGTACCTGTCATCAACTCAGGCCACTGGAAATAAAATCGCGTCTTTAGATTAAGAATGCAGACGATACGCAGCGATAAATTTTGTCCCTTTGGAGGCACCGTCCAGGTCCGCGCCCAGCCCTTGTCATGTGACTGTGGGGAGCCCAAAGCCTGCAGTGCAGTAGGAAGCGACGTGCTGTGGGAGCCCAGGCGAGGGCTAGTAGCGGATGGGATGGAGACGACCTTGGAGCAGCACTTGGAGGACACGTGAGTAATGCAGGCCTCTTCGGCGTGTCCTCATATCCGTAGCGAGGGGGGCTGGAGTGGAACAAAGGGCATGAACTGTGAGTGCTGATTAAGGCTGTCTTGGGGAAGCCGTGCGAATTCTAGGACCCAGGATGAGGCCGTGAGGGCGGGGCTGGTAACCCGGAATTAAAATCCCGCGGCCCCGTCTTGCACAGCCCGCTCCGAAGAGTCTTCAGGGTTCATTCGGCTGTCATGTTGCTGAAATTGTCTGTACTATGGTCAGGATCCTTGTTAGCAGAGTTTTAGGAACTTGGTTTAACTTTTGGAAAGAATGTAAGAGGTGTGTAGAGTTGAGTCTTACAAATAAGACACACAGGTGTCATCTACTGATTGCGTAAACTAATCAGTAACTTGGTGCTTAAGGAGCTAAGAGACCTCGATTTTTTCAAATGTTGTTACGTGCTGTCGAGTTGACTCCGACTGGTAGGGATCCTACCTACAATAGAACGAAACACTGCCCCGTCCTGCGCCATCCTCACAATCCTTGCTGTGATTGAGCCCATCGTCACAGCCACTGTGTCAGACCATCTCCGTGAGGGTCTTTCCCTTTTTCTCTGATCCTCCACTTTACCAAGCATGGTTTCCTCCTATGTGAGGTTCAGAGCCCTTGCTGGGTGGTGCAAACGGTTAACGCGCTGGGTGGCTATTCAAAAAGTCAACCATTGAAAATCCTATGCAGCACAGTTCTGCTCTGACACACATGACCCCACTAGAGTGTGTGTGTGAGAGAGAGCAAGCTTCAAACTGGAAAAGTGTAAGAACGTTTATAAACATTTCCTTCCACCAGTATTCCCCAGCTTCCCAAGAGGCAAGCTGTTTTTTTTCACATGGTTACTTAAACCATGTTACTTAAAATTGAAGTTTTTCACAGTTGTTTTAGATGAGTTATAAAGCATGCATTTTCAACAGGGGTGAAAAAAAGCTTAGATACTACAATGTTTGTGTCCCTCAAAAGCTCAGTTATGCCTGGCAAAATCTCATTATAGAGAAATTCATTTAAATCAATTGTTGTTGTTAGCGGCAGGCCACCTCCATACACAATGGAACAAAATACTACCTGGTCACCCACCAACCCCGTGATTGGATGCTGACTGGGTTCAGCTGTGACCCATAGGGCTTTCACTGATTTTCAGGAGTAGATTACCAGGCTTTTCTTCCTAGTCCATCTTAGTCCAGAAGCTGCTGAACCCTGTTCAACATCACAGCATTATGCAGCCTCTGCTGACAGCTGGTGACTGCACACAAGGTACACTGGCTGGGAATCAGACTGAGGTCTCCTGCTTGGGAGATGAGAATTCCATCAGTGAATTACCAGGAGCTCATAATTCATTTTAATTTAATTTTTCTCCTTGAGGTGGGGGAGAGGGGAATGATTTTTTAAAAAATTGAGAAATACTAATGTTAACCACTTACAACAATGCCTGGCACATAAGAAGCCTATCTATATGTGCCAAAATGTTACTTAAATTCACTTTTTCACATCACATTTCATCCTTCCTTTGATTTTGGAGGTAGAATGAAGAATCCATCCATTGTTGGAGTCCTGTGCACAGACTCACAAGGACTTAATCTGGGCTGTAAGTATCTTCTAACCACCCTTTGGTGAATTGCAAAGCAGTTTGATGTTGACTTGGAGCCTAGTGTGCTCTTATTCTCTAGCTATTATTTCCTGGGTAATTTTGTGATCTAATAACAAGATTACAAAGTTGGAATTTTTCAATTGATATGAAGGTGCAATGTTCCTTGCAGTTCTACCATAAGCATTTGTCTTTATTAAAATGGTATTTGAGTCATTTTAATTTGGCTCTAGAAGGGACCCAAATAATGACAGCAATTACCATTTGTTGAATATATGCCATATGCCGGGAATGTGCTAGGCTTTATATACATTATCTCCAATTTTCACAATAACCCTGCATGGTGGGTGGTATGATTTTTAGTCCAATCATACTTAACCATAAGTGAGTAGGCAGTAAAATGCAGTGCTTAAAAAACAGGAGCTTCAGAGTCAAACACTCCTGAGCTTAACTTGCTGCTCTTACATTTGTTAGTAGTGTGAACTTGAAGGAAAAAAAAAAAAAAAAACCTCTCTGAGCCTCCGTTTCTTCACTGGATTGTTGTTTAATAATTTTACTAATAATAGAGCTACACAGGTATTAAGCTCTTACTATGTGTCCCATTATCCTTCTAAATGCTTTACATATATTAACTCCTTTAATCCTGACAATCCTATGAGGTAGAGGCTATTTTCTCCATTTTACAGATGAAGGAACGTGAACCCCAGCAATTAAGTAAGTTGGCCCAATGTCATAAGCTAGTTGGTTGAGCTAGGATTTGAGTCTGGCTCCAAAGCCTCTTAATGACAGTACTATAAAATTATATATTTAAACACTCAGCACAAGACTTGGAAATACTGCTCAAATAAGGGTGACAATTACAGATGAGGAAATAAATCCAGAAAAGTGAATAACCAAAACATTCAGTTAATTAACGCCAGAAGTGGTACATAAACCTAGGACTCCTGACTCCTTGTGTAGGAATTTTTGAAAGCCTGAATTTTTGCTGTGTGGGTAACTGAAAGGGGTAATCTGTATAACTCCGTTATGTTTTGCACACTGATAAGTCATTTGGGAGGAAAAAGGGCAAATTTTTTGAAGCACTTGTCAGGCTCCCTAACAGAAAGGCTGAGATACCAGTGTGGAAATCTAAAACCAAATGAATTCTTTCAAAAAACCTTCAAGGCCCAAAAGGCTGCACTGTGTCTGGCCACTTAATAGCTTACAAAACAATTCTAAATTCATAGACTCTGCCATGTCTATTACCTGACTTAGTTTAGGCTCAATTAAACTTGTGTTTTTGCTATATGTGGAAATATATTTTAAAGTAGACTAGAAACTACTTTCTGTCCCTAGAACTCAAGATTTCATCTACTGATTAAAACACATTTTTAAAAAGCCAATTCTACTGACGTTTGAACACAAGCAACATATTTTTATCCTGTTGTTGTTGTTGTTATGTGCCGTCGAGTCAAACCCGACTCATAGCGACCCCTCCTTGGGCTTCCGAGGCAGTATCACTACGGAAGTAGGATTGCCCAACCTTCCTCCCAAGGAGTGGCTGGTGGGTTTGAACCGCCAGCCGTCTGGTTAGCAGGCAAGTGTCTTAGCCACTATGCTACCAGAGCTCCCTAGACAAAATAATTGCTCACAGAATATTCACATACGCTGTCAAGGTGGTCATATGTCTGAACTCCTAAGTTTTATATCTGCTTCAAAAGGGATAAGACTTTTTATATCCTTTGAGGTTGAGCTCAGTAAAAGGAAAATGGATTTCCCATGAGGACTTAATTGGTTTCAACAAGTCTCTTGCCCTTTCTGACTGCATTTTGTCAATCTCACCTCTGAATTCTTGTTGATTTCAAGAAGGTTCCTATAAAATGAATTTATGACTTTGAGATTAACATAAATTGCCACAGCTTTGTATCTCTGAGAAGGTGTTTAGAGATGGCATTGGGAATGACTTTGAAAATTGAGTGTCTGTTATCACTTTTGATTTAAGAACCGTTACGTGGCTTTCTCATTGATGTAACCAGTTGAGTATCAGGGAAAAAGCATGTCATGTCAGCACCTAAACTACAGGACAGTATACTGAGCCTTCTGCTTTGAATAAGTCAATGAGAGCTACTTCTTTAGCTCCATACTCATTTTTGGACAACGAGGTGACATGGTATCTCTATCTTCTAGGCCGTGGGACCCTGTCAGATGAGCATGCTGGGGTGGTATCTGTTCTAGCCCAGCAAGCAGCCAAGCTAACCTCTGACCCCACTGATATTCCTGTGGTGTGTCTAGAGTCAGATAATGGGTGAGTAGATGGCAGTAGATTCCTTTTTTTGTTCAGAAAAACCCCAGGAAAACTGGAATGGGATCTGCCCTGTATTTATCAGTGATTTTTCATTCCAAGTCCCGATAGGCCTGAATAGAGACTTACTTTTAAGTATCATGAGGGAGGTTCTTCTCCCTTTGGGCCACAGTCGCAGATGCACTGATCTCTAAAACTAATGTGCTTTCAGGCCAAAATGACCTTTAAATGGAAAGTACAATTCACGGTGAAACCTGTGCGAGCCAAAACTGAACAGGACTGCCTTGTTTTTCCAGGTCTTGAAAGTTTTCTGCCTTTGACAGGGTCAAGTCTTAAAATTTGTCTATTGCTCATTGCAGTGGAAAATATTTTGAGTTTTCTCTGGCAGGTTTCTGCCTTATATCAGTTCTGGCTTTTACAGGTTTTACTGTATAATAAACTATCAGCCTACCAAAACAAAACAAAGAAGTAATAAACAGCATAAGGAAAGACTGATCAAAGAACAAAACTACTACTTTTGTGAGAACGTTGTTATTGTTGTTGTTATTTGCCGTCAAGTCGGACCCAACTCACAGTGATCCCTCCTTGGGTTTCTTAGGCAGTATCACTATGGAAGTAGATTGCCCCATCTTCCTTCTGAGGAGTGGCTGGTGGGTTTGAACCACCAGCCTTCTGGTTAGCAGTCAAGTACTTTAGGCACTATGCTACCAGAGGCACTGACTGATGCCTCATTCTCTTCTCCCTTCCCACCCCACAGCAGTTTTGAGCTGCAGGGTCTCAGGCCTTATAGGACCTAAGAACCTAGAATAGGAGCCCACTAGCTCAGTGCTCCTTGAATATCTGCCTGGAGGCCATGGCCACACAGGCGGCAGGTACCATGCGGCAGCTAGAAGTGGTGCCCCTGCTGGCAGGAGTGCACAGGGCAGCACAACTCAGCTTTCTGAACACCACCCTGAGACCTTCCTCGAAGGAGGGAATACTCCACAGCCATTGCTGCCAGGCCATGCGCACTGTCTCATTAATGCACAAAGTGGTCAGATAATAGATATTTTATTATTGTCATGAACGTGAAATGTCAGATCTGAAATAGTCTATAAATAAGGAGTAGGTGTATGGTATGTTGTTATTGTGTGCCATCAAGTCGTACCTGACTCCTGGCGATCCCAGATTTTCCAACTACACATACAACTCCTCTCCACTTAGGCCCTTCCCCTCCCACCTTGTTGAGGGTGGAAAGTCTTAACTCGGTTGAGAATCTTTGTAGAACCATAAAGTAACACTTCATATCTTGTTCTTGTTGTTGTTATGTGCCGTCAAGTCAGACCCGACTCATAGTGACCCCTCCTTGGGATTCCGAGGCAGTATCACAACGGAAGTAGACTGCCCAACCTTCCTTCTGAGGGGTGGCTGGTGGGTTTGAACCACCAGCCTTCTGGTTAGCAGTCAAGTGCCTTGGGCACTACGCTACCAGAGCTCCCGTATAGTATATAGGAAGATAAAAAGAACTAGGAAAATATTAATAGTGGTTGTCTCTGAGAGTTGGGTTTATAGAATTAATTTAATTTTTATATTTTAAACGTTTCTGTATTTCCCAAATATTTTACTGTACTAATAAACAAGTATTGTGTTTATAATGTGGAAAAATGATAAATACTTTTTGAAAATTGTGTATAGTCCCTGCCTGGGTGGTGAAAACAGTTTTAACATGTTCAGCAGCTAACTGAAAGTTTAGAGGTTCAAGTCCACCCAGAGGCACCTTGGAAGAAAAGCCTGGCAATCTACTTCAAAAAAAAAATCAGTCAGTGAAAACCCTATGATGTACAGTTCTACTCTGACCACATGGGGGCACCATGAATTAGGGTTTGCTCTACAGCATCTGGGAAAAAAGAAACATTTGTAACCTTACACTGGCTCCCAGTTTTAAAGTTTTACTGAGTATCATCTGCTTTGCCTTTCAGGAACATTATGATCCAGAAACACGACGGTATCACAGTGGCAGTGCACAAAATGGCCTCTTGACATCTCCTGTCAGTTCTCCAGCCCATCATAAGGACTCAAGCCTATTGTGTTTACTATTTTAGAGAACTATTAAAGTTCTAATAATTAGGTCCTTCACTTAATGTGCATTGGGCTTTTTTTTTTTTTTTAAGTGAAAGTTTGAAAAGCAAATTAGTCTGTCATTGAACAGTTTATAGATAGATTGTTTTGTGACATTGTTTGCAGTTCTCCTGAAGTGTTAGCACTCTCCCCACTTCTACCCTGGGTTCGTCCTTTCTATTCACCCAGCCTTCTTGCCCCTTCCTGCTTCTGAATTTGCTTTTGGGCAAATGCTGTATGGTTGAATGTTCTGAGGAGCACATTCCTCATGGATGTTACTGTTCACTTTATAGATACGTGTTGTTTGACTGTGAGGTGTTTTCTAGGAGTGGATTCAATTCTAAGTTTGAAGGGTGTCTAAGGACTATAGTCTTGGGGGTTACCTGGCTCTATGAGACCAGTAAGGCATTTTCATGAGTTTGAATTTTGTTCTACATTTTTCTCTCTGTCCAGAACCTTCTTTAGTGATCCTGGTCAGGGGTGGTAGCCGGGCACCATGGAGTTCTGGTCTAAAGTTTCTGGAGGCTGTAGCTCATGTGGTCCATTACTCCTTTGCACTACTTGTTTCTTTGGTTTTTTCACTCGTCTTTGCTTCAGACGGGTAGAGACCAATAGTTGTACCTTAGATAGTCACTCACACAAGCTTTTAAAACATTAGACACTTTTCAGTTTATGTTAGAGTAAGCTACTTTTTGGCATTCTATGCACTAACCTATCAAAAATATTTGTAAGAAAAGATCCTGTTTAAAAGCAGCACATCCAAGTTACTTTGTATATAGAATTTTGTCATAGTTAATAAATCTGGTTGGAGGAAAGTTTAGATCTTTTCTGGATTCCTTAATACATCAGTTTTTTTTTTTTTTTTAAAGGCCTTTGTTCCAACTACTGGCTTCTCATTTAGAAGCATCCTGAAATACCTATATTTGTACAGGAATGTTCATTGATATTTGAAACAAATCAAGCATATCCCCATCGCGTAACAACATAATAGCTAGTATCAAGTACTTAACTGTGTGCCAGAGACTCAACTAATTCTCTTTAACAACTTCCCTGTTAATGAAAGTTTAAGGGATTAGCAGACTCATCATTTAGACTCAGGATTCCAACTGAGAACCTATATTCTTAACCCCTAGACCACCACAGAAATAGGCATGTTTGGCCAGAAAAAAAGTCGTAACTATTTGAAAGTATAGGTCATTGTTATCCTCTCTTAAGCCTTTGTAGTTCTCAACAGAACCATGCACAGGTACAAAAGACTTCATTTTGTTGAATTTGCGGCTCCTGTTCCTTTAACAATTTAATAATTGACAGTATAAAACTAGATTTATAATTTATTCAAGAATTTTAAACATTAACAAAGTATAAGGTGCTATATGATACAAAGATTTTGATTAAGTTATGGTTCCAGTCCTTGAGCTTGTACTTTAATAGAAGGAGTATGCGTGGATGTATCTTTTCTGTCTTCCCCATTAGCATATGTAACTCTTGAGGGCAGAAGCTTTGTCTTAGTCATAGATGTAGCCCCCAAAACCAATAGCAGTTCATAGAACATAATAGGGAATCCATAAATATTTGCCAAGTAGATGAATAAAAGGAGCTGTGGTAATGGAGTGGTTAAGGCATTTGGGTGCTAATCAAAAGGTTGTGGTTCAAACCCACCAGCTGCTCTGTGGAAGAAAGATGAGGCAGTTTGCTTCCATAGAGATTTATAGCCTTGGAAACCCAGTGGTAGTTGCGGTGAGTTAGAATTGACTCAATGGCAGTGAGTTTTGTTTTTCTTAAGTGGATGAGTATGTAATACAAGGGAGTTTTGTGGTATGAATGGAGCATCCATAGATGGGATATTTATAGTAAGACAGACATGAGGGATTTCCACATAGAGGGAATGGCAATGACAAAGACAAGTGATTCATCAAAAGGAAATTTTATGTATAAATGGTATAGTTTGTGAGATGGAAGATGAAAAAGATAGGGCACCTAACTTGAGGAACTTGAATGTCTGCTTTTCAAGAATCCTAGATCCCCTTCTGTTAGCAGAATGAGTTTTGGAGCAGGGGAAAGTCAAAGTAGAGCTTTAAGATTCATCTGAGGTAGACTCCCAAAACTTTCTCATGCTTCATCAATGTACCTCCAATTCCTAGCCTACAGGGCAACAGATCGCTCTATAAATAGGGCCTTTCTGACCTAGGCTTATAGTTCTGCTAAGATGATTTGCTAGGCAACAGTCTGGCAAATGGATTGGTCCGCTGTGGCAGTAAGGTATATAAAATGCTTGTAGGGATTACTTTGCAAACTAGTGGCTGTGGCCTACTGAGGAAATTGGCTGGCTTGCCATTCTGATAGGCTTAAAAGAGCTAATCTTACAGAGGTCAAGAGGGACCTCACTGTCATCTGGTAAAACCTGGAGTAGATCCTGATTTGCTGTGTCAACTTTCACCAAAAACACAAATATGATTTTAAAACAAAAACCTGGAACAGAATGATTCCTTTAGACCCTATGCTGACAATCTACTGGACCCATGAGAGAGAGAACTGTAGACACTGAAGACAGAGAGGGCACAGCAAGAATGGCAGCTGCACAAGACAGCAGGAACCAGGAGACTGGCATGTTGAAATGGGGCTCATTGACCTGTGGAGTGAGAGCTGAGGACTTCTCTCAGGAGGCTTGCTAGCAGTGTAGGGGAGTAGGGTACCTCCTGGCACTGTGTCAGCAGAGCTAAAGAGTTGTAACACTTGCCTGCCTGACTAGGGCAGAGGCTAAGAGCACAGCCTGTGTGCAGGCATGGCTGAGAAAACAGCTCAAAGCTGTCTTAGTTGGAAGCTGTCCTATTGAAGGACTGTATTCTGAGTTGTATCCTGTTACCGCCACATTATGATTACGATCCTGAATTGTACTTGCCCCTTCTCTAATAAACCCAATAATTGTGTGTGGTGTGTGTGTTATCTGTGACCACTGCAGTGGATTATTGAACCCAGTAGAGAAGTGTGCCATGGGGAGGATAGCTGGTGTCAGAATTGGTGAGAAAAGAAAAAAGTTGGAGAATGGAGGTATCTGACCTTCACCTCAGGAATCAGCTTTGGGCTGATGGTGATCATTCTCCCCCCTTGTGAATATACATAGGTTCTGACACTGATGCTGTCCTATTTCGTAGTCTAAAGAAATACAGGCAGATGAATGTTAACTACATGCTAGATACATGCTAAGTAATTTACATGCATTTATTTCATTTACTGCCCTTCATCTTAAAAGGTATTGTTATCCCCATTTTGGAGAGGAAGAAATGATCTCAGCAAGAGCCAGTGTTTTGCTCAGGATCAAATATGAGAAGCAGAAAAATTGGCAGAAAAGGAATAGGGAGAATGAAGAGTTAAAGGTGATTGAATTGTCTAGGTGACAGAAAGAACTGGGCTTCCTTAGAAAGTAGTCAGCAGGAAAGGATTACAGAGAAAAGATGGCCGGTCTTGACTTTGGTTATGTTGAAATCAAATTCCTGACAGGACATTCTGGTGATGATGCTCAATAAGCATACTGAGTGCTCACCATGTAGCAGGCATAGTGTTAAACCACCATTCAGGTACCTCCCATTGCATTTAGAACAAAATTCAAAGTTCTTCCCAGGCCTCCAAAGCCTTGCCTGGCCCAACCCCTGCCTATCCCTCCTGCCACATACGCCACTCTCTGCCTCACTAAGCTTCAATCACACTGGCCACCTGTCAGTTCCCAGAACTGCAAGTTCTTGCCCTAGGGCCTTGATGCTTACAGCTTCCTTTGCCTAGAATGTCATGTGTCCATCTTTCCATCTGGCTGTATCCTTGCCATGTAGCTCTCAACTTCTATGTCTTTTCATAAAGGCCTTCTCTGACCACTCTGTCTAAAGTTGGATCTCCTGTTACTTTCTACCAACACCTAATACATTTCCTTCATGGTGCTTACTAAATCTGTATTTACTGTTAGTCTCCCTCACTGGCCTGTAAACTCAATAAGGACAAGGACCTTACTGATCTTGTTCACCTCTGTACCATGTACTTGCTTCCTATCAATGCTGCAACAAATTGCCACAAACTTAGTGGTTTTAAATAACACAAATTGCTTGTCTTACAGTTTTGGAGATAAGTCCAAAATCCGTCTCCCTGGGCTGAAGTTATCAGCAGGGCTGATTCTACAGAGGCTCCAGGGGAGCATCTGTTCTCGTCTACTCCAGCTTCTAGAAGCCACCTGAATTTTTTGGCTCATGACCTGTTTCATCTCCAAAGCCATCTGGGTAGCATCTTCAAAACTCTCTCTCAAATTTCAACATCTGTGTCATATTTTTCTCTGGTTTTGATTTGTGGTTTGCTGCTGCATCAGCTCTAACAACAACCACTTGTATAAACACAAGGAAATGCTGCACAATCCTACACCACCTTCATGATCACTGGAATGTTTGAGTCCATTGTGTAGCTGCTGTGTCAAACTGAGGGTGTGACTCTTGCCTCCTTCTTGTAAGGACCCTTGTGTGGGCTCAATTGGATGATAAGGATTATCTCAGGATCCTTAATCTGCAAAGTTCCTTCTGCCATGGAAGGTAAAACATTTACAGGTTCTAGGAGTTAGAACATGGTTATCTTTGGGGAACCACTTTTCTACTCCATGACTGTTCTGGTTACCTAGTGCCACTCTGACAGGAATATACCACAAATGGAATAGCTTTAACAAACAGGAGTTTATTCTTACAATTTGTAGGTTTTATGTCCGAGTTCAAAGTGCCAGGCTCTAAGGGCTGGGTAAAAGCCCCTCAACCTTGGGCTTCAGCTCTGCCTCCTGCTCCCAGCCCACTGAAGCTGGAGACTTTATTTCACTCAGCTGCTGGCTGCTGAGACTGATGAACCCAAGGTCAACAAGTAACAAGGAACAGTCCCAATATTAACAAACCACAGGCAGGCAATTAATTCAAGTCTATTAGAAGTCCCAAGATGGGCAAAGCACGGCAGGCTGCTGAACAACAACTTGACTACATGCAGGGTTCAAGTATGCCATAAGCTGGGGACAAT